GCGAACTTGGTCGGACCACCTCTCGCGCAGCATCTCTGAGCCCAAACTTGTGAAGACGTCTCAGGCGAAACCGGCCAGACCACCTGTTGCGCGGCATCTCGGAGCCCAGAGTTGTCAGGATATCCAAGGGCGCCCTCGAGGTCGCGAAGTTATTCGCGCTTCGCGCTTCGCGGTTCGGCTCCGATTCCTCCTCTTCCTCCTCTTCTCCCCTGGGAGGCGGCGCGAGGGCGCGAAGTGATTCGCACTTCGCGCTTCGCGCAGCGCGAAGCGCGAAGCTGGGAGCCCTTGTATATGTCATGCAAGATTGGCAGGCACGGCCACCGTAGGACAGGGCATCTCTGAGCCCAGAGCTGCGAGGATGTCTCGGGCGAGACGTGCAGGCCCACCTCGGGTGGCGGCATCTCTGAGGCCAGAGTTGCAAGGATGTCTCACGCGAAACTGGCCAAGACTCCGCAGGTCAGAGCATCTCTGAACCCAGAATTGCAAGGATGTCTCATGCGAATCGGTCTTGGTGTGACAGTTGCCGTCGCATTATCCTTCCCCATGCAGTGCGCACTATGCGAGCAGCCGCAGAAACCTCCTGCCGATATTGTCATGGTGTGGACCTCCACGCTCATCCCTGGAGGTGTTGGAACGTTTGTGCTGCTGGGCACATGCAGCGTAGCTGGCACCACTAGCTGGTGCTTTGTTTTCACAGCAGCTGTGCCTCACACCTACGACCGATTTGCCGCAAGAAGTCAGCCCGCGAGCCTTCAGGCCACTGGTACTATCAACATGTTGGTGTGCGCTGCCTTCCGGTCCACCGCTCTGTGGCAGCCCCATGGCGGCCCATTTGTGTCTCCGGCTACCGCCTCGATCCTTTTGGGACCTTGTGGTCGCGTCCTGTCTGCTCGCGTGCGTGGACTGCGAAGCACGTCGGCGGCTTCTGGCTCGCGCTGCTCGGGCTCGCCTGCCCGGCCGCCTGCACCTCCTGCGCGTTCGCGCGCCTGGCCGAGAGGGCTGCGCAGGGCTACGTGCCCGTGACCGAGTGAAGATCACGAGCGATGCTTATCGGAGAAACCAAGTATATCTCCGACGACATGGCTTTTTGAAGAGGCATCTTGTTTGCCTGATTTCGGCTCTCGCGGGACCGTAGAACATTGAGTGGGGACGAACAGCTGCCCCCTGGGAAGCGGTCAGGACCTCTGGCACAGCGGGTTGACAAACATCATCTGGACACCGAGGCGCGATCCCATGGATCTACGCGATCCCAGGAGCGCGTCCGCCGGGCATCCCGCCCCGTCTGCGCGGGGTCGCGGCAGGCCAGGGTCACGGATCGCATGCAGCATGTCTCCATCCCCGCGAGCAGCAACAGCAGAATTCGTCGCGGCGCGCATTCCGCAGGATGCAGTTTTCCAGGCCTCGTTCGGGAGCCTTGAGACGGGGGTCGATGCAAACGGGGGTCAGCCAGAGCGCTGGATCTTGCAGGATCCTGCAGGGACAGGGTCGCATTGACCCGGGTTTGGGCGCAGGATCCTGCAGGATCTTGCAGGATCCTTCGCATTGACCCAGGTTTGGGTGCAGGATCTTGCAGGATCTTGCAGGATTTGCAGGATTCTGCAAGGCCTGACTGACCCTGGTCTGGATTGACCCGGGTCAGAAGATCCCCGACTCGTCATTTGGGCACCGATGCGCGATTCCATGTACGCGCGATCGCATGAACGCGTCCGTCACGCATCCCGCCGTGCGTAAGTATGCGCGGGACCGCGGAAGGCGGGACACGCACCATGCGCAACACGAATTACCGTTTTCGCTCGCAAAGTGCACGCCGCGCAGCACTTTCCAGTTGTTCGGACCGACGCCCGCGACATGAAGACAGATGACGCTGGCCGTCAGGGTTTGATTCTTCTCTTGGCGAAGCGCGGGCCGACCGTGGGGTGCGGCGAGACCTGTCGCACTCATGCCGTCAGCCTTCATCCCTTGCGTGCTGCGAAGCCGCGCTCCCGACCATCTCCTCGTGACGCTCCTCTCCCACTCCTCCGTCGTGGCCGCGCAGCCTGGCGTTGCGCCGGGGCCGCCCGCTCAAGCCTGCCGCGCTGGCCGACATTCCCTTCGTCCTCAACGGCCCAAGAAGTCCCTAAAGGCACCCCTAGCAGGGGTTCAAGAGGAGGAAGTCGAGGGGGCTTCGGGAGCCGTACCCCCAAGACGGCCTTTACGACTTCTGAGCGGGCCTAAGACGGCTCAAGAGGGCCCCCGACGGGCCCAAAATGACCTCAAAGGGCACACGAAAGAATGCAAGATGGCCCAAGAGATCCAGGAGGACCCTGAGATGGCCCGGGATGGGCGCAAGACGGCCCCGACATGGGCCCCAAGAGGACCCCATGACAGCCCAATAGGCACCCACGATCCCAATTGACTTCCAACATAGTCGAGGATGCCCCCAAGGCGGCTCCAAAAACGACCCCCAAAGGCACCCAATACTGCATCTCCAGCAGGCGTCTAAGATGCTCCAAGACGGCCCAAAGACAGCTGGATGTGGCCCGGAAGCTGTTCAGTACTGTCCCCGAGAAGCTAAAGTCGTCGAATTTGAGGCCCGGCCAGCCCAGATCGGTTTTCGTGACTTCGTTGCTCCATGGTTTGTCCCCAGATGCGTGGCCAGGAGGGGAGGGGGCGACCTTCGATGCTCCGTGATTTGGCCCTGATGGCGCGTACTTCGGATCCAGATTCGGGCACCATCCTTCTTTGCTCAGCTCCTGCTGCAGATGATGATAATGTTGACGAGGATTATGCTGATGCTGATGATGATGGTGATGATGACGATGTCGATGATGATGACGATGATGATGAGGATGAGGATGCTGCTGCTGCTGCTGCTGCTGATGATGCGGATGATGATGCTGATGATGATGATGACGATGATGATGATGATGATGATGATGATGATGATGATGATGATGATGATGATGATGATGATGATGATGATGATGATGATGATGATGATGATGATGATGATGATGATGAGGATGCTGCTGCTGATGATGATGATTATTGACGATGATGATTGACGAGGAGAGGAGGAGGAGGAGATGAGGAGGAGGATGAGGATGAGGTTGATGAGGATGGGGGCGGAGGTGGAGGAGGATGTGGAGAACCACTGCTGGACCATGGCGTTGAAAGTTCGGAGGCCCCTGGGCCCCAGGGGCGGCCTGGGGCGCAGAGGTGAGAGCGGCGCCCTCAGGTCTGGGAGGGGCCTCGGTGCTCCTTTCGGGTCGGACGAAAGGAGGGGAGGGTGCGACATCTGCTGCATGCAGCCAGTTCCGGCCGCGCCGCCGGGCGCTTGTCACGATGGGCGCCCCTGGCGCCAGGGGGTCGATGGGAAAACCAGCTGCAGGGAGCTGATTCTCCTATACATATCCTCCTGGCCCCCGCCGTCGCCCTGGTACTTGTCGCCGCCCCCGGTCCGGGCCCTTCTGGCTGGCTCAAGAGTCGGGCTCGGACTTCTCTTTCAGGCCTCCTGGTCGCCTCGCTCCGTCGCGCACCCAGCCTGTAGGCAGGATGGGCATTGTGTTCACCAAGATCTGGCACCGCATGGTCAGCAAGGAGGAGATGCGCATCCTGATGCTCGGCCTGGACGCGGCGGGGAAGACGACCGTCCTGTACAAGCTGAAGCTCGGGGAGGTCGTGACGACGATCCCGACGGTGGGCTTCAACGTGGAGAGCGTGGAGTACAAGAACATCAGCTTCACCGTGTGGGACGTCGGCGGGCAGGACAAGATCCGCCGGCTCTGGCGCTACTACTTCCAGGGCACCCAGGGGCTCGTCTTCGTGGTGGACAGCAGCGACCGGGACCGCGTGGAGGACGCGCGGGAAGAGCTGATGCAGGTGCTCGGCGAGGACGAGATGCGGGGTGCCGCCCTGCTCGTGCTGGCCAACAAGCAGGACCTGCCCAACGCCATGCCCGCTGCGGAGCTGACGGAGAAGCTGGGCCTCCAGGGCCTCCGCGCCCGGCAGTGGTACATCCAGTCGGCGTGCGCCACCTCTGGCGACGGCCTGTACGAGGGGATGGACTGGATGTCGCGCGTGCTGTCGTCCAGGAAGTGAGCGCCGCGGGGGGAGGCGCGAGCCCGCTTGCCTTTTTTGCTCGCTCGTCTGCCGCCCGATCGGGGGGGGGGGCCCGGCCAGTGCAGCCCTGCTTCGAGGCGGGGAGCGGCTCGGCGCCGACGCGCGTTTTTTTGTTTGTTTGTTTGTTTGTTTGTTTGTTTGTCTGCTCGCTCACTCTCCCCGCAGAGCCCGGTCGTTGCAGCCCTGCTTCCCGAGGCGGGGGGCGGCCGCGGCCGCGCACTCGGAGCGGCCAGCCGTGGGACTCGTGTACAGTGCGATCGCGGAGAGCCAGCTCGCAGAGGGGTGGGGAGGTAGCAAAACACGCCTCTCACGAGGGCCGAGCGGGGACGAGCAGCACGGGGGCGAAGACCAGCAGGAGTCCCTGGCCACTCTGACAGGCCTCGCTGTCGGCGCCTTGCGCGGACGTCGTCCGTTTTGGGGGCAGGCGTCGCCCGCCCAGCAGCAGCTGCTACAGTGGAAGCCCAGGCCAAGAAACACCCTGCTGGCCTCCAGGGTGCGGGTTTCGATGGTTTTGCCACGGAAAGCGTGGCGTGCCCATGCCCAAAATCAGTGGGCGTCCAGGGGTTCCAGGTTTGGGTTTCTTGTGGAAGGATTCTTGTGGTCGAGCCCCGACTGCATGTCCTCATATCGGGCGTGGCAGATATCTCCGTCGCCGTCTGAGAGCTCTGGCGATTCGGAATCACGCCCGAGGTTTTCCCGCCATTCTGGGCCGTCAGGGCGCTTGTTCCAGGCCCCGTGGCCGTCGAGAAGCAGCTCGGCATAGCAGCTCGGCATGAAGCGCCGGTCCCAGGGGCCAGCCTCGTCGGGAGGTCTGGGGGGCCTTTCTTCTCCAGGGGCAGGCCTGAGAGCGCGCAGACGAGCCACGGAAGGACCAGGGGTCGACTGCGCGGGACTTCGCGCGTAAGCTTCCCGCGTAATGTCGCGCGTGCGCGCTCTCGTTTCCAGGGTAGCGTGCCGCGCTAGCGGCCCCTGTAAGCCACCGCGTAAGGTCGCTACGTCATTGCGCATATGGCCCGTTTGTTCTCGTCGCTCCGATGACCAGCATCGAAGCATCGACGGTCCAGCTTGAGGAGCGGCGCAGACGGCCCCTGGCTCCCAGAACTCTGCTACGTCACCATCTGTCTGTGTACGTTCTGTGGGGTGATGAGGCAGCGAGGGGGCGGTGAGGGCCGTGCCTGGAAGGGGATCCTCGTGGAGGGGTGGCGGTGTGGCCGCGCCCAACGTCCCCCCAGGGGCAGAGAAGAGACCAGGAGCAGCAGGAACGGAGGAGGGACACCGAGGAGGGACGATGATGATGATGATGATGATGATGATGATGATGATGATGATGATGATGATGATGATGATGATGATGCTGATGATGATGATGATGCTAATGCTAATGCTATTGCTGATGCTGATGCTGATGCTGATGCTTATGCTGATGTTAATACTGATGCTGATGCTGATGCTGATGTTTATGATGATGATGAACATGATGGTGATGACGATGCTGGTACGGATGATGAGGATGATGATGATGATGATGATGATGATGATGATGATGATGATGATGGACATTATGGTGATGCTGCTGATGTTGATGTTGATGCTGGTGCTGATGATGATGCGGATGCTGCTGCTGATGATGCTGATTATGCTGCTGCTGCTGTTGCTGACAATGATGCTGCTGTTGCTGATGATGATGCTCGTGATGATGCTGACGATGATGGTACTGATGGTGAACATGTGCATCAAGGTGAGGGTGAGGGTGAGGGCGATGGTGAGAGTAAACATGATCATCTTGATGATGAAGAAGGTCGGGGTGAGGGTGAGGGTGAGGGGTGAGGATGATCATGAGTATTTGGGTGAGGGTGAGGATTCTGATGATGGCCATGATTATGGAGATGCCGACGGTGATGCTGATGATGAGGATGAGGATGAGGATGAG